GACTACTTGAAGGCAAAGATTCTGAGGCCTCATCTAACATACTTTGGACATGCTGTAAAGTGGGACCGGTCCTTGGAGAGGGGTATTATGCTTGGGAGGGTGGAGGGACAGTGCAGGAGGGGAAGGCTCTCTTTGAGATGGATTGATTCCGTGACTGGGGTAATCAGGATGGGTGTATCAGAGACAGTGCTATTGGCATAGGACAGAGCAGAGTTTGGGGCTCTTGTACATAGGATCGCTATGAGTTGCGACTTGGCGGCACATAACAACAACAACATATTCCAAGCAGTGGAATAGCTGAGTCATATGGAATTACTATGTTCAGCCTTCTGATGAAATGCCAAACTGCCTTCCAGAGTGGTCGTACCATCTCTTTTTTTGAAGAATCACTGGTGAATTTGCTCTGCCAAAAGGATACCTCCTGCATGCTGCATAGTGTTCCATCGTGTGAATGTACCATAATTTCTAAATCCATTTAATTGTGATTGGACATTCGGGCTGTTTCCATGTTCTTGTGGTGAATAATGCTGATACCATCTCACTCCAGTAGCAATGACAAAGTTTAACGAGAAAGCAAGTATTGTTGGAGAGGATGTGGCAAGACAAGAACTCTTAGTACAACCACCCTGGAAAGTTTTTCCTCAGAATGTTAAACATAGAAATTCCATATGACTCAGCTATTCCACTGCTTGGAATATACCTCGAGTAAATAAGAACTGAGGCACAGAGACTTGTACACCAATGTTCATAGCAGCATTATTCACAATCACAAGGGTGATTGTTTTGTGTAAAGCTCGAGTCTTCTGGAGTAGCTTCCTGGTATTTTGGAGATAGGTGGTTAAGAAGATGGGTAGTGGTAGGGCAGGCCACATCACCTACCACACCTCCCATGGAAAGGTGGAGTCCATGAAACTGCCCATGAAAGAATATCTGGAAGATTGTTTTTTTAAAGAAAATGGTGCAATTTTATTGAGTTAGAATCCACATACCTTATAAGTCACCACATAAGTCTTACAGTTCAATGAGTTAGTGTATTTTCAAAATTGTGAGGTCACCATAACCCATTTTCATCATTCCAGAAAGCAGCCCTGTCCACTTTAGTGGGTAATCCCGTCCCATAGCAGTCTCTTCCCAGCCATAGTAGCTGCTGATCGACCTTATGATAGATGTGCCTGCCCCACACATTTTAGATACATGGAATCATAAAATATGGAGTCTTTTGTTGCTGGGCTCTTTTTTTTTTTTTAACTGTTATTGTTGTTGTTGTTAATGTGCTGTTGAGTTGTCTGCGACTCATAACGACCCTATGTACAACAGCTCTAAACTCTGCCCTATCCTGTGCCAATCTCACTATCTCTGACACAACTACCTTCATTGGCCCAGCCATTGAATCAATCCATCTCATCGAGGGTCTTCTTCTCCTGTGCTGTCCCTTCACCCTCCCAAGCATAATATCCTTCTCCAAGGACTCTTTGCAACATATCCAAAATATGTCAGATGAAGCTTCAGAATCCTTGCCTCCAAGGAGCAGCCTGATTTCACCACCTCCAGGAAAAACCCATTCGTTTTCTTAGCAGTCCATGGTATATTCAGTACTCTTCTCCAGCACCACAGCTCAAAGGCATCAATTCTCCTTCTGTCATCTCTAGTCATTGTCCAGCTCTCTGATGCATAGCAAGTGATTGCAAAGACCATGGCCTGTATCAGGCACACCTTAGTCTCCAGGCTGACATTGTTGCCCTGCAGTACTTTAGAGCGGTCTGTAACCGCAGACTTTCGCATCGCAATACATCTTTTAATTTCCTGGCTGCTGGTGCCAAGATTGTTGACTGTGGAGCCAAACAAACTAAAACTGTGGACCATCTCAATCTCTTCACCATCCATCATGATGTTGCCAATCGGCCCAGTAGAATCTTTGTTTTCTTGATATTGAGCCTCAATCCATACTGACTGCAGTCCATGACCTTCCACAGCAAGCACTTCAGGTCCTTCATAGCATAATATTTTTATGGTTTGTCCATATTGATGCATACTTCGGACTTTATTCTACCCCCCCAATAATATTCCGTTGTAGGGATATACCACTTTTGTTTATACATTCATACTTTGCCTCATATTATGCATTCATATGTATGTATTCATATTTTTGCTCAACAGTCGTGAATGTTTGAATTATTTCTGCCTTTTGGTAGAATAATGATAACATAAAAAATTGTATATGTGTTTATGTGGATATATGCATTGATTTCTTTGCGATATATGGGTATATGTGTGGGAGAGCTTTAGTGGCATAGTCAGGAGAGATATGCTAACACAAAGGCTGCACCTCTCTGGCAGTTACAATCCACTAGTGGCTCTGAGTGAGAAGGGTGAGCAATCTGACCGGAATAATTCACAGCCTCAGAAAACTCACTTCAAGGTCAGCTGTCAGTCAGTTACAATATGACAACAATCAGTTTGAGTTTTCATTAGATAGATAGATAGATAGATAGATAGATAGATAGATAGATAGATATAGATATGAGATTTGCAAATATTTTTAATTTGGGTGAAGCCTGGTTTTATCTTTCACTCTTTGTGCCATATATATTGTTTTCCTAATCCTCGGTCACAAAGACTCATCTCCATGTTTGCTTCTAAATTTTACAGTTTTCCTACTATAATTTATGCCTGTGATCCATCTCAAGTTAATCATCATATGTGATGTGATGTGATGTGATGTGATGTGATGTGATGTGATGTGGGATCTGCCTCTATTCTTTTACCTGTGTCTCCTTTTCTCTTAATACCATTTAGGAAAAACCTCTATATTACATTGTTGTTAGATAGACTATTTCTTGTCTACTTAGATTTTCTGGGTTTTGTTGTTTTTTTCCCCTTCTTGAGCTATTTTTGTAATTTGTGTCTTTCTAGAAGTTTATCCATGTTACTTACCTAACTTGTTGACATATAGTTCATAATAAGTAAGATTGTTAGTGATGCCCTTTTGTTTTATTAAAATCATTGGTTAATCTAGTTGAAAGTATATAAATTTTGTTTATCTTTAAAAAAAACTCCTTAATTATCTTTGTTTTGTATTCCAATCTCAGTATCATTAAGTTGTTTTCAAATCATTATGTCTTCTTTAATTATGCTGGCTTCAGTATATTAAGGTGGAAGTTTAGGTTTGTAATTTGACATCTTATTTTTTAACATAAATGTTTGTTGTTGTGTACCATTGAGTAGGAACTGACCCATAGCTGACCCTCCATCAGGTTTTCAGGGGCAGTAAATCAAAAAGGGAGAGATTACCTATATTTCTTCCACAGAGCATCTGATGGATTAGAACCAAGAGCCTTTGGGTTGGCAGTGTAGATTTTTACCTCCCTGTTGGTTAGTTAGGAGTGTGCTATTTAATTTCCATGTTTTTGTGACTCTCTCCAGTTTCATTCTGTTATGAGTGGAGAGCATAGCTTAAATTACTTCAGCCAGCCACCCAGGAGAGCAGACATGTGCACCTGGAAAGTGTGTGCTGTGCTCCTGTTGGGTCTTGTCTGGGGCCTCTTTGGTCTGTGGTGGTGCTTACGTCACCTGTTCTCTTGATCCCTTCCTTATTCTTCTGTTTGTCATTGAAAGTACCTTCCAGGGTATCTTGACTCAACCCCAACGTTTTTGATGCAAGCTCTGCCTATGTTATGAACTAGGGTATGACAGGGACCTTCCATCACCACCTATTGCCATTAAGTCAGTTCTGACTCATAGATGCTTTGGGATAGAGTAGAATTGCCCTGTAGGGGCTCCAAGGCTGTGAAGGTTTATGAATGTAGAGTGACACATTTTCTTCCAGCAGAGTGGACTTGAGCCACCAAACTTTTGGTTAGCAGTCAGTACTGCACTATCAAGGACAGATCATGGCATTTCTCAGATTTTCTGTTCTCATTTGTCAGGTGGATGGGATGATTGTTGTGTTTTGTGGTGTTTATCTTGTTTCAGCTCCAGGCCTTCAGCGAGCCTCAGCCCAGAGTGCAAGAAGTGGGCCTGCCGCAGGCAGAGGTGCCCGAAAGGAGAGGCAGCACTCTCAGCAACCCTGAATGGCAGACGCCAGCCCCGACCACCAAAACAGCTTTGGATTTGAAGAGACAAGGTGAGAAGGGTAAGCTTAGGCCAGACACCACTGGTGTGTCCTCTCCAGAGCCTCATTGAATGGTAGCAGGGTTCATGGTGTCCACTCTGTGTACAAGCAAGAAGGGCATCCTTGAGGAAGCCAGCAAGCGAAATGCTGATGGCAGCTGACCAGGGAGAGTCTCTAGGCACCTGGATTTGTAGTTGAAGGGCTGTCTTTGTCTTCCTGATGCCTCTGAGTGCTGTGTAACACAGTGTCTAGGCTGTCCCCTGTTTTGGAACATTGATAGAATTGAGGAGCAGGGGCTAAATCATGGACAGCTGCCACTTGGAGGCAGTGGGGGTTGCTGTAGAGTGTCACAGCTTGACCCCCAGTACTGGTATCACGTGCTGTTATTGTTAGGTGCTCTTGTGGTTACTAGGACTCATAGCAACCTTGTGTCCCTTCCTGGTGCTGTCCACTCTCATAGTCTCTACTGTGAGCTTGAGCCCATTGTTGCAACCACAATGTCAGTCCAGCTCCTCGAGGGTCTTTCTCTTTTTAACTACCCCTCTACTTTACCAATCATAATGTCCTTTGCCAAGGACTGACCGTCCTGACAACATGTCCAAAGCACATGAGATGAAGTTACACTTCAGTTCAAAAGAGCATTCTGGCTCCACTTCTTCCCAAACAGACCTGTTTCCTCTTTTGGCAATCAGTGGGAGAGTTGATATTCTTCATAGTCAGATAAACATGGCCGTACACTTTTCCTTCACTTAGCCTGTCACTGCCACTGAGATTTCCCCCAGTGTCTTCTCTGGCTCATGGTTTGAAGATGACTAAGACATAGAGGCCAGAGCTTGCAAAACTCTTCCCAGTCACTGTGCTCCCTACAACCCGGGGTTCTCTCTGCTGCTGGAATTGAGTGGCACACATTGTTTGCTTTGAATTTAAATGAAATGCCTCTGAGGTCACAGCTAAATGGTGTTCTGTACAGATGAAACCAATGAGATTAAGATGGTCAGCAAGGAGGAAGGACAGAGGGTCAGTATGGGACTGCCACAGGACCTGGCCGCCGAAGACTACAAGCTCGCAGAGGGAAGGGGTGCCGGGGATGCCAGACAGCTTGGCCAGACGCCACAGGTGCCAGCTGTCCTGTTAGCAAGCCAGGAAAATGCAGAAACTGAGGACCCTGAGCGGGACCAGCTGGTCATTGGCGAGGGCATGGAGGATGAGGAACCTGGAACGGAGGAGCGAGGTGAGTAGAGGCTCTGCTGCCCAGGGGCACCCTGTTGGCAGTGCTGGCCACCATCCTGACACCACAGGATCCCCATGAACTCAGCTCACAGTTTGGTTGTTTCTGTTTGTTCCTGGCAGGAAAGAGGAACATTCCACAATCTGGCACTTTGAGGTTCAGAAATATTGTTAACTGGAAGTTAAGGAGACATTAGGTGGCAGATGTTCAGATGAGTGGGCCCAGGCCTCTGCTCAGGTGGTATCTGCTGTGCCCAAAGAGGCCTGCCTGCCTGGGGAGTGGGCAAGGAAATGGGTATTATGAGGAAAACGACATGTGAATACACTTTTCTGGTTAGTTGACTTTTTAAAGAGAGGCAGGATACTGAGATCCACAGAATATACCCTGGGAGGTGTCTGATTCCCCAGAATATGAAAGCATAGGTCCTAACTGAACCAGGAGCCATTAAAAGGGCACCCATGTGCTCATTTCTTCACACATGCATGTTCCATCTGCAGCTCTCCTTCTAAGGACCATGTTCCCCACAGTCCTGGTCAGAAAGCTGCACTGTGTCAGCCCCACCTGGAGCATGGCTCCTGTGGTCCCTGGCTCCTTGTGGAACAGCCCTGCAGGCACACAGACTGTATTCTCTGTCCCCTCAGATGGCACAGAGAAATATACTCAGAGCTCACTTCCAGCAATGCCTTTTTAAAATTTTTCTTTACCTGCCTATATGCAGGCACATTTATGTCTAGAAGATGGATTGATTTGGTGACTGGGGTAATCGGGATGAGTGTGTCAGAGACAGTGAGATTGGCACAGGACAGAACAGAGTTTAGGGCTGTTGTACATAGGGTTGCTATGAGTAGCAAGCGACTCGGTGGCACTTAATAACAACAACAATTTAAATATACTTGTGAAATGCATTTTACCCTGTACTTCTTTTTGAGTTGGGGTGACTAGCTGTAACTGATCTAATTCTGTATAATGATGGGTTTGTTTTTTCATTAACAATAGTGACCATTTCTTTCCCTGGGAGCAATAAGTCCTTTTGAAATGTCATTGGTAATTAGAAGCCTGTTGTTTCCTAAGTACCTCTTTGTGTTCACCTCTTAAAAATTGAATTTTTGGTTTCATTTTCCCCTTTCCTGTCAGCAGTCCGGCTGCCCCTCCCCACTCCCAGGGCCTTATTTGACTTGAATAGAGCTGAGGCAGGGCATGCAAGCATTCCTACCAGCAGAGGGAAGGAAAGAGGGTTGAGTGATAAGTCCCCATGCCCAGGCCCTGTTATTGGTAGCGTAAAGTGAGAAGTGTAGCTTATGTTTTCTTTATCTTAGCCAATTTTACAGGGAGAAACAAGCAAAAACTGGGAGGAGATGACTACAACATGGATGAAAATGAAGCAGAATCTGAAGGGGACAAGCAGGTGGAGCTTGTCAGGAATGAGGAAGGCCTAAATGGTAAATGTGTGGTGGGCTCACTGTCCTGTGCTGCTTTGTGTCTTTTCTGGCTCTTCCCTATTCAGTACAGTGAACCCCATGAATAATACTGTAGGTTATTGATTGCTTAAAGAAACTTTTTTTTCCCCCCGTTGGAAGCCTGGAAAAATACGGGTGGTAGAGAGAGAAGGGTGAGGTCCAAAATGCTAAAGATATTTTCGAAATACCTTACTCAGCAGGTTTAAGCCCTAAGATTATTATTGGTGGAGGATTCCCTCCATACCGAACACACACATAGAGATTTAGGGGCTTCTCAGCAAGATGACTAGCTGCTGACTACCCAGTCACTCTCCATCAGTCAAGGTGTTCCAGTCTGCACAGAGCTTCCTCAAAATTTTTATAGGTGTACTTTGCATTATTGTTATTAGTATGTTGAGTTCCTGGAGAGCCCAGTGCCTTTTAAATGAACGCCTATTCTAGACTGTGTTTGCTTCCATGTTTAGATTCCATTTAATTTAGATTGTACGTTTTTTTCAAGCTGACATATGCTCCTTTTGTCTCACACAAGGATGCACATAGTGGCCTGTAGCTTTGCTGTAGGGGACTCCAAATCTGATGCCAGGGCTCTGTTGCAAAGGGACAGCTTCTCTTTGTGTTTGGTATTCTGGGAGAATGATGCTCTACCATCCATTGAGGAGGCTGGCCCACATTTCATTACTAGGGGGTTACAAAGTGGTGACTTTTCTGTTCTCTCGACACAGCTAAGTCAAACTCCCCACTCCCCACCCACTGAATCCTTTTATTGGATCTTGTTTTCTTTCTACACTTTTCAAAGCTGCTTTTTGTGTTAGTGAGAATGGCTCAGTGACAGAAGTTGCAAACACATCCTTACAGTATGGTACTTTTTAAAAAAAATTTATTTTATTATTTTTGTATATGTACTGTCAAATCAGATCTGACTGATACAGAAGGAGATTGTCCCTCCTTTCCAGCAGAGCATCTGGTGGATTTGAACAGTGCACCTCTGGGATTGCAATGACGTTTCCTGCCACTAGGCCACCAGAGCTCCCTCACAGTATGGTACTTTTTCCATGCAAACTTTAACAAGAAAAGTCATTTATTGATTCTGGATATCGAATCATAGTTAGAAAGGTTTCCATTGTATCCATTTAAAGAAATCCCACTGTATTTTTGTCTTGATTTTGAATGCTTTAAGTTTTTATCTGCTATTCTTTTAAAAACACACCACAGCTTTAGAAAGCCACACAGAGAAATGAGTTAACAGGTGCCTGCCTCCAGTCAAGAAATCCAATTTGACCAGCCACTCCAGGGACCCTTCTGTGTCCCTGTTCCAATGCCAGCATCCTCCGTCACTTCCAGTAATAGCCTCCACCTTGACCTTTGTAGCAGTCACTTCCTTATGCTGCTTTATGAGTTTCTCACTCAAAAGGGTCTTCTATTTGACATTCTGGTCTTGCAAGTTTTCTTAAATTTGATTTAACAAAACTGAGTTTAGTCAAAATTTGCAGAAATGATAGGTTTTCATTCATTACACATTTTCCTCCCTCCTCTAGTTCACTTTGTAAGGCTTGTTTTGTCCTGCATATGGACTATCTGAGGAATCTTCCATTCCCTTCACCTACTGCACTGTCAGTGTTCACCATCTATCCATTCTTTTCCTTTTAAATCAATGTTTTTAAGTTCTCCAGTCTGAAAGGTTCCCTTTCCCTCCATTCTTCAAAGTCATTTAAGAAACAATTTGACTGGTAGACATCCCCAGTCTGGATACTGTAAATCATGTCCACGGTGCAGTGTTGAGCATGTCCCTCATCTTTCTGTACATCAGCATCTGGATTCAAAGGTTTGATCAGATTGAGGTTTGGACTCAAGCCCTTGGTTGTAGTATATTCTTTCTTCTGCTCTCTCATTACTATCAAGTCTGAAATGAATCAGCTGACTCTCTAGACGGTTTTCAGAAGCTCTGATCTGTTGGGAGGAGAATGCCCTTTTTCTCCCATGAAGTCACAGGTAGATTTGAACCTTTGGGTTGGTAGCATAACTCCTTACCCATGAGGCCACCACAGCTCCCCGGTATTCTTTCAGAGACACATACAGCTGCCAGGCAGCTTCTTCCTGTGATGCTAGCAGTAGTTGATGTTCAGTGACTTTCTGTTGAAGACCTGCCAGGTCCTGCACATGATTAAATGCTTAACTGTTAGCTAAAAGTTGTGCTTTGAACCTACCCAGAGGGGCCTTGAATGACATGCCTGGTGATCTGCTTGGAAAGTCACAGTTGTGAATACCCTATGGAGCAGTTCTGCTCTGCATATGAATTGGAACTGTTTTAGTGACAACAAAAACCCATACAATAGTAATTTTATCACTTATTAACTGGAATATTTTTAGATACTTCCACATGTCTGTTGTCTGACACCTGCAGTATCAGTACTCAATCCTGTTTACCAGTTTTCCTCAATGATCCATTTTCCTTTTAACACCCGAAGGTGACCGTTTAGGACATACTGTGAACTCAGGCATTTACTTCTATCTGATGAGCCTCATTTCTTTTGCAGGGCAAATTGCCTCTTCTGTGACAGTGGAAGTTTTCTACTTTTTAAATGAAATTAAAAAAATTTTAAACTGCTCCCCTTTACAGTTTATACACATCATTCTGTGACATTGGTTGAATTTAATTTTTTTTTTTTTAAATCAGCATTCCTGTTCTTTCCTTGGTGCTTCCATTGATCTAGCTTCTGCTTTCACCAAATTCATTGCTCAGGGGAACTTATTACTCATATTACTCGTTGTTGTTGTTATGTGTCGTTGGGTCGCCTCCAACTCATAGCAACCCTATGTACAACAGCCCTCTATCCTAGGCCAACCTTATTGTCTCTGACACACCTACCTCCATTACCCCAGTCAGTGAGTCAATCCATCTCATCAAGGGTCTTCCTCTCCTGCGCTGTCCCTCCACCCTCCCAAGCATGACATTCCTCTCCAAGGACTGGTCCTACCTTGCAACATGCCCAAACTATATCAGACAAAGCTTCAGAATCCTTGCCTCCAAGGAGCAGCCTGGTCCCACCCTCTCTTGGTAATGTTTATGTTAAGTCATTCTATTAGTTGGCTGAGAAGTGATCTCCAAAGATAGCTCCTATTTCCATTGAGAGGTTGTGTTGAGGAGTCTTGCTTTTTTTAGGAGTTTGGATTCTGTTCTACATTTTTCTTGCATTTCCTTGAGGATCTTCTATTGTGTCTGGTCAGAGGTCAGCTCATTACCATCTAACTCTTTGGGTCTTGGAAGAAGCAGTGGTTCCCCCCTCACTTTTTTCTGAACCTTTCATTATTTTGCTGTCCTTGCCCTGCTCAGGCTCCACTGTTCACCCAACAGTCTTTCTGTCTGGGGCTCTACCTGGAGAGGAGCCCTGCAGATGAGTGTCAGGAGTCTATGGGGTAGAACTTTGCAAGCTCTTCTGGTCTTCACAGTGGACACTCGTGAGAAGCTACCAGGGTCAAGGATAGACACGGAAAAACTGGGATATTATTGGATAAAAGTGAGGCAGAATCTGAAACATGCAGGCAGCCCTTGTGGGGTGCCTGCCCTGGTGGGATGCCTGCCCTGGTGGGGTGCCTGCCCTGGTGAGGCCAGCATGCTTCCTGGTATGTCCTTGTTCTGGGATTGTTGGCTGCATTTGTGTACATTTGTGTTTTCTCTTTCCACAGATGCCTTCATAATTTTGATTCTTAAACTGCTTTGTGTTTTGACTGAATGATTTCTGGGCCTCCACTTTTGTTATAAATGTCTAGTTTTTGTGGTTTTTATTTTAATTATTATTTGTGTGTGTGTACCGTCAAATCAGATCTGACTGGTACAGGAGAAGATTGTTCCTCCTTTTCCAGCAGAGCTTCTGGTGGATTTGAACTGCGCACCTCAGGGATTGCAGTTCAGCTTCTTGCCACTAGGCCACCAGAGCTTGCTGGTGGCCTGGTTTTTTGTGTTTTGTCTCATTGCTTTGAATAGGATTCTAAGATATTAAAAACTGCCATTGTTGCTGTCATTCTTCCAGAATCATTGTCTGCTTTCATATTTGACATTCAGATCTCTAAAAGTCATTCAAAGTCATGTAGGTATATGGCTGCAGTCTGAAGGGCTTCCCATTTGGCCCACCTCCATCACAAAGCTAGGGATTTGAGATGCCATCTTTAGCAAATTCTAGCTATTTTTATTTGGGTCTATTCTTGGATTTTTCTATTAAGAGAACTTGTCTGCAGCTCACATTGTACTACACTAATTTAGTATCTGGGAAATCTCAGTCAATATATCTTTGAAAAATGTCTCTTCCTTTTTGAATTTAGAAATGTTTGACATTCTCTATCTCTCTGGAATATCTACATTTGGGTTAATATTTTAGATGTCTTAGCTTTGTCTAAATAGCACATTTTTTGGCCACCTAGACATTCTTATTATCTCGGTCTTGCTAAGGAATTCAAATTTTAATGTTGAGGTACATTTCTCTTTATGATGAACTCTAGAAACCTATGCCATTTGGGGCCTGCCTGGGGTATATTTTTCAGCTATTTAATATTTGAATGCACAAGTATTTTTTTCTTTTCCGTTTTTAGTTATTGATGCTGAAGATAAAAAACGGGACGTCATAAATTTACTTGATCAGCATGAAAAGAGAAATCACACTCTGAATTAAAGGGGAATTTCACTTCAGGATTGAACAGAGCTGATGATGAAATATTCATGTGGAATTGAGCACACAAAGTAGTCCGTATACATCGAAAGAAGATTATTCTAGAGTTTTAGTATGTACTTTATGGAAGGAAAATGTGATTGTATTTTAAGACTCTCTTGTGGGTATTTTTGAAATGTGGCTAATATGTTAAAATTTGCCAGGTATCTCGCTACTAGGCGTTTCATCAAAACCAAAATAGAACACAAATTCTACTCAAGTACGGCAACAGTGGTGCTTTCTTATTCTGGAACAGAACTTCCTTTAAAAGACAACAAAGGGTCTGTAGGAAGAATCTACCTTCTGACGTTGAGAGAGCACACTTTCTCAGTCTCTTCAAATATTGTCCTTGCTTTGGCATGCTGTGCTCTGGATAGGTGCACTAGCTTCTTCTCAAAGTGACCTCAGGTGCAGAAGGAAGCCTGCTGGTCAACACTGGACAATGACTGCTCTCTTGTGTACTCATTGCTGACAGTGCCTGCATCACTAGTCATAAAAATATCACTACTAACAGTGTCAAGAAGTCTTAAGCACAAAGCATTTTTGTGTGAGAATTTCTAAGACCTTTGTCATCCTTGTATACCTCTGTCATCCTTAATGTTCAAATGGGGGATTTTGGTGACTTGGGAGTCTGAATGTTTGTGATCTATGCTGTTTTGCTTAACATGTGTAGGAAAAACAAAACCTTCCATAATAAGTACACATTACCAATCAGAGACAAACGCATTGAACTTCAACTCCACAGTGGCCTAGCAGATGGTGCTGGCATCCTGCACCAGTGAGGGTGGCACAGCCCTGTAAAGATGAGTTTGCTGTGTGCAAATGGGTGCCTACTTTATTATAAAAGTGTTCCAAGTTGGGATAGTCTAGAAATGTAATATAGGTATGCATCACTGAATGTCCACACCACCTTATGAAATAGGGTATTTTGTAAATACTAGATCACCTATAGTATGTTTGTATGTATCTTACACGCATATTTAAATGCCATCCTTCACAAACTGCTCTGGTTCTCTGTTAGTAGCTGAAGACTTGTGGTTTGCATACTTTCCCATGCAACTGGCTGCCCCTGCCAGTTAGAACTTAAAGCCTTTAAGGACAAGTGGATCAGTCCTAGGCAGCTTCTTCCAGCAGACACTGACCTATGGGCAGATAGGCAATGAAAGCTGGAGCCTCAATTGTGGTGTGGCTCTTGCCATAGTTTATAGACTGAACCATGGCTGCAGGCTGCTTAGGGTGTAGCCAGGTGGCTGGGTGCTGGGATGGAGCTGGGTGGCCTTCGTTCCACAGGCAACACCAGCCCTGCATGCTGGGATCATTCTCACCAAGCCCTACCTACCCACTCCACAGGTATGTGATCTGGCAGTTGGGATGTTAGCCAGAAGGACATTATGAGACACAAGTTGTTTTTTTCAGTTTACACATTTATCTGTGGCAAAATAATTTATGACAAAACTCATATAAAACACAAAGGTTAATGTTAATTTTGCAAATAGACTTGGAGTGACGATCATTCACAGTGCTGGTGGTGATGGCAGGGCTGCCTTGTTTCAGTGAAGCTCTCAGAAGTGGTACCTACTGAAATGCACTTTCATCTGCAGAATGAACTACAGTGCCTCATCCTCACCCTTCTCAAGAGGGAGCGCAGTGACAGGCACAGCAGATACACCAGATATGCCCATACTGCAGGTTGTGTCCTCCTATACTAAATCACTGATATTTAACCTGTCACTCAGAAAAGGGATGTAATCTTTTCCTAGCCCTCTTTTTGTCTTAAGAGTTGATAAAAATCCTCCTGCTTTCTCAAATAATAAAACCTCTAGGTATACTGTTTAAATGTGAAGAACTGCTGAGAAATAAAAGTACTCTGATCTTAAAACTTTCAGAGACCTCCCTTTGTCCTCATGGGTTCCTTAATGAAGTCTGCTTCTAAATTGTGGATTGAAGATAGATTCGCTTAAGAAACTTTGGGAAAATGAGATTACATGTCAATATAAGCCAAAAAGAAAAAAAAAAACAACCCACCCCTAATTTTTTTGTGCAGAGGCTATGTACGTGGGGTTCCTTCTCCGAGTGGGCCAAGTACTGGCCCTCTTGTAAGCTCAGGCAGGAATCAGGAGACAGGAATTAAGAGATGTAGGGACTATTTTGCTTTTATTTCTTAAAAAAGACAACATAAACCTGTGTGGCCAAGCATTAGAGAGCCTATCAATCTCCAACCTTGGTCTTAGGTTTTTATCCAAAATGAAACTGGCATGATTTTCGTTAAAATTAAAACCTACTTTTAGAAGCATTTCATTTCTTCCTTCTATAGTCTCAAATGGACAGGAGTGTAGAGTGACAGGATTGTTCATTTACTTTCCCTATTCGGGCAAACAAGACTGTATGTGGAGACTTTGTAAGCAAACTGATTTCACAAGTACTTCTGTGTAATGGAATTTGAAAAAGAAATCATTTCCTGGTTTCTGCATCTCGGGATAAGACCCTTCGCATCTGGGACCTGAATAAACATGGTAAACAAATTCAACACATCAACAGAACTGCCAGATGTGCAGGCTGGATTTAGAAGAGGTCATGGTACTAGGGATATTATAACTAATGTTTGATGGATCTTGGCAGAAAGCAGAGTACCAGAGGAATGTCCATCTGTGCTTCACTGACAATTGACTGTGTGGATCACAAGCCATGGCTGACTCTGAGAAGAATGGGAGTTCCAGAACATTTGACTGTGCTTATGCAAAACCTATACTTGGACCAAGAGGCAGTCATCAGAACAGAGAAGGAGACACTGCATGGTTCAAAATTGGGAAGGGGGTCTGCCAGGGATGTATTCTGTCTCCGGACCTTTTCAGTCTGTATGCAGAACAGATCATCTGAGATGCTGGGCTGAACGAGGAGGAATGTGGCATCAGGATTGGTGGAAGATTAATCAGCAACATGTGTTAAGCAAATAACACAACCTTGCTTGCTGAAACTAAGGAAGACGTGAAGCGCTTGCTGCAGAAGGCCAAGGACTGCAACCTTCAATGCGGATTGAAGCTCAACATCAAGAAAACAAAGATTCTCACCACTGGGCCAACTGGCAGCATCAGTATGGATAGTGAAGATTGAGATAGTTAAGTTTTAGTTTGCTTGGCTCCACAGTCAACACTCTTGGTACCAGCAGCCAGGAAGTCAAGAGACAAATTGCATTGGGAAAGTCAGCTGTCAGGGACCTCTCCAAAGTACTTAAGAGCTGGATGTCAGGCTGGACACAAAAGGTGTGCCTGATCCGAGCTATAGTCTTCACAATTGCATGCTATACACTGGAAAGCTGGACAGTGATTAGGGATGATAGAGAATTGATGCCTTTGAGTGGTGGTGCTGGAGAAGAGTTAATACACCATGGACTGCTAGAACAGATTTGTCCTGGAAAAGGTGGGTGTAGCTGATCTGCTCCTTAGAGTCGAGGATTCTGAAGCTTCGTCTGACATACTTTGGGCATGTTGCAAGGAGGGAGGGACAGCATCCAGGAAAGAGCCTTGATGAGATGGATCTATTCAGTGATTGGGGTGGTGGGAATAACTCTGTCAGAGACAGTTTGGCACAGGATAGAATGACATTTAGGGCTCTTGTACATAGGGTCACTAGGAGTCACACGTGACTTGGCGGGACATAATAAACATGTCCAGGTGTTACCGGACCACTTGCAGTTGGGTGTACTGCTGCTCCTTCTCCCTGGACTGCTGCATGCTGTGTTCTGTGGCTGGAGAGAAGTCTGTCTTCCTCTCGGGCATGATGTCAGACACGATTATCTGGAAGCTCAAAGGCCAGAAGGGCAGTGTGGTCTCTTACGACTTCTCCCGACTCAGCCCTGCTTGTCACCACGTCTTACACCACCAACATGATCATTTGTGACCTCTACACTGGTGAGAGGCTGAGATCCCTCCACCACACACAGCTGAACGCCCTGACGGCCAATAGTGATGTCCACATCAGCTCACTCAGGTCCATGTGCTTCTCCCTGGAAGGTCTGTACCTTGTCACTGTGACAGATGACAGACTCCTCAGAATCTGGGCGCTGGAACTGAAAACACTAATCTTATTTGCTCCCATGACCAACGGCCTCTGCTGCACATTTTTTCCCACACAGTGGCATAATCGCCACAGGGACCAGAGATGGCCATGTCCATTTCCTGATGGAGTCGAGGATCCTGTCATTGCTGAAGTACTTACGCTGGAAAGTTCTCCGCAGTTTCCCGACCATGTACCAAGTCCTGGCACTGCCGATCCCCAAGAAAATGAAAGAGTTCCTCACGTACAGGACTTTCTAAGTGGCCTTCCGTGGAGTTGTCCCCACTTGCTCAGAGGTGGGCGGAATCTTCCAGGCAGAGGCACAGCTAGCATGAAACGGGCCAGATGGCTTGTCTTGGATGGAAGCACTGTTTGGGATCAAGAGAATGTTGCAAAACCAGATTCTAATGGACAAGACTTGGGTCTTCTTCTGCAGCTGGTGCAAGGTACTGGGGGACAGGACAACGTTCTTTTGGCTGCAGAACCCTGCCCTACCATACAACACTGAGCTGTTCATAGTTGTCATGTAAAGTGCAGTGACTAGGGTAGTTCTGGTGACAAAGTGGGTTGTCAGAGCCTTCTCTTGAGTGTCAGCCAAGCTGAAACACCTGGTTGATGGCTGTCAACATTGAGTTTCTTATTTGAACGCAGTGGGGGCTTGCTGAGAATTTTTTTGTGCTGTGCTAAGCGTTGCTGTGATGGTGGCATGTCCTGTCCTTTCCCCGGCTCCCCTTTGGCCAAATGCATCATTCTCATGGAGCTGTTTGGCATGTTAAGCTTCTCCAATTACAGATGAAATCAGTGGGTGTGTTCTGGACCTATTTAAAAAAAGATACTTATCATTGTTCATTCTTACTGTGGGGTGTGTGTGTCCATGTGCAGGAAGGGACAACCTGTGTAAGGTGACAAAA